CGATAATAGAAATATCAGAAATAAACACGGAGGCGGTATGTCGGGACATGTTGACGGAAACTCTCTGCTACTAATTTGGTTTATTAAATAAACTTACTAATACACTTACTAATACTCTGTTGACTCTAACTCCTTCTCTTCTAACTCCTCCTAACGGAAAATACTTCTCTCAAACTTTCGGTGTTGCTATGGGTTCCCCTCTCTCCCCTGTTCTTGCCAGTCTCTACATGGAATATTTCAAAACTGTTCTTCTTCCCACTATTGAAACTCGTTCCTCTCTCTGGCTTCGTTATGTTGAGGACTTTTTGTTTTATGGCCTCATGACCTTAGTCTTTTCCAGCCTTTCCTCGCCTCTCTTAACAATCTGGCTCCTTCCATCCATTTCAAAGTTGAATAGGAACCTAATTCCCTCCTTCCTTTTCTTGACGTTAATGTTCACAGCTGTGTCCGGGTTGTCTACCGCAAACCCATCCATAGTACATTCACTTCTTTTCCTACCATCCTCCTTCTGTTAAGAAAAGTGTCCTCGTCTCTCTCTTCCTCCGCGCTCTACACATCAGTTACCCTCAGTTTCTTGATTCTGAAATTTCCTTTATTTACAAATCTTTTTCTCGCCTTGGTTACCTCTTACATTTTATCATCTGTGCCTATTCTCAAGCTAAACGAAATTTCTTTCATCCCAAACCTGTTTCCAACACAAGTACAACTGTGTTCTGCCTTCCCTTCATATATAAACTCAAAAACCTCACTAATACCCTTCGTTCTCTTGACATAAAGCTCGCATTTTGACAAACTAACACTGTTCGTAGTAATCTGGTTCACGCTGCTCCTCCTGCTTCTAATGTTGTTGGTGTCTACTCTATTTCCTGTTCGTCTTGTCCTCTCCAATACTTTAGGGAAACTGGCCATACATTAAATGACAGACTTAAGGAACACAGGAGTAGTGTTAAGTCTGCGGACAAAAACTATGTTCTCTTCTGTCAAGTTAGGGACTCTAGTCATCTTATTGATTGGTCTTCTAAAATAATATTTCCTGTCATTACACAGACGCCGTCTTGTTGAATCGGCTCTGATACACAAGCCACTCAACATGAACCTTAGTCCTGGCTTTGTTGCTGTTGACTCTTCCCTTTCACAGTACACACTCAAATCCTCCAACCTTCAGAACAAACGTGACCTGACCCCCCCCCCTTATCAACCTTTTTTTATCTTTATTTTTTCTTTCTCATCTTGTTCTTACGTTTCCATTCTTATACACATTATTACCCACATCTTACACCCCATTATTACACCCATCCTATCCGTACCTTTCCCTTTGCTCTTACCTTCCTCTATTAATTTCCTTCTCCTCATCTCCCTCTTGTCTTATCAAGAAAGAGGTTCTGCTGGGGCAGCAGTTTACACTAACAACCATGAAGCTTATTAAGCATGAATAGTGGGTGCTCAACATTGCAAACAGAATTATTTGCCCTGAAGGAGGCTATAAGTTATGCAATTTAGAATAATTTACATGAAGTCATCATTCATACCGACTCTAAATCTTCGCTCGAGGCATTGTCATCCAGCTAACACAGAGATAATATACAACTCATCACAGAAATCCTACATATAGGAAAAGAAGCCCATAATCTAGGGCTGTCAATCACCCTAAATTGGATACCAAGTCACATTGGCATAGATGGTAATGAAAAGGCAGACTCACTAGCAAAACCTGCCACTGCTCTACCTGTTGTACAGGTTCAAATACCTCCAAGTTTTTCACAGATTAAGAAGCAAATCAAGATGAAAATACTCTCAACTATTAAAAGTCGCCACAGAGCCAAAGTAGCGGAAGGAAGATCCACTGCGATATGGTACGAACAAGCCACTGGGTACTACTCTTTCATGCCTGACAAAAATATAGCCAGAGACATTGCAGTAGCCATACACAGACATAGTTACAAGTGCTGCTGGGAGGCAATAAGCCCAATAGTAAAAGTGTCATATCTGTGGAACAGAAGCAGAGGCGCCACTATTGCACTACTTACTGGAATGTGAAGCTACTGAAGCCCTGCGCATCAAACTCAACATTAATCCAACGACAGCAACTGCATTAGATGCACATTCCTCAGCCACTACAATGATTAGAAAAGCTGTTGAAGAATGGAACTCACTAGTGAACACTGTGCACCTACATCCGCCACCAAGATAATGTTAATAAAACAAGACTAAAACCAGGGCACTAAAACAGAAGCAAAAAAGAAACGGGAGAAAAGGAGGAAACCCCACCTCTATATATACCTTTGACCCAAATATCACAGTAACAATTAAGGTTATCGCGAATAACAGAACTCAATTACGGGCTCACTATATGGACATCTCGTTCTGAGTAGCTAAATCTAAAACAGCAACAGCAACAACAACAACAACAACAACAACAACAACAACAAGGAGCGTCTACCACCACCGCCAAGCTCCACTGCACAACTGTTTATTAGCTGGCTGGAGAAGGAAGCTCAATATTGGTCTTAAATATTGCCAGGTTAGTGTGTGGTGTGTGAGGGGCACCTTGAGTGTCTTCCTCTGCTGCTCTTACTCACACCGTCATCACACACGAGAAAAACACAGGTCCAGCATGTGTTGTGAGGGCAACACTGAGAGCCGCCAGGTCCAGCATGTGTTGTGAGAGCAACACTGAGAGCCGCCAGGTCCAGCATGTGTTGTGAGGGCAACACTGAGAGCCGCCAGGTCCAGCATGTGTTGTGAGAGCAACACTGAGAGCCGCCTGGTCCAGCATGTGTTGTGAGAGCAACACTGAGAGCCGCCAGGTCCAGCATGTGTTGTGAGAGCAACACTGAGAGCCGCCAAGTCCAGCATGTGTTGTGAGAGCAACACTGAGAGCCGCCAGGTCCAGCATGTGTTGTGAGAGCAACACTGAGAGCCGCCAGGTCCAGCATGTGTTGTGAGAGCAACACTGAGAGCCACCAGGTCCAGCATGTGTTGTGAGAGCAACACTGAGAGCCGCCAGGTCCAGCATGTGTTGTGAGAGCAACACTGAGAGCCGCCAGGTCCCGCATGTGTTGTGAGGGCAACACTGAGAGCCGCCAGGTCCAGCATGTGTTGTGAGGGCAACACTGAGACCTGCCAGGTCCAGCATGTGTTGTGAGAGCAACACTGAGAGCCGCAAGGTCCAGCATGTGTTGTGAGGGCAACACTGAGAGCCGCCAGGTCCAGCATGTGTTGTGAGAGCAACACTGAGAGCCGCCAGGTCCAGCATGTGTTGTGAGAGCAACACTGAGAGCCGCCAGGTCCAGCATGTGTTGTGAGAGCAACACTGAGAGCCGCCTACAAGGTCGCCCCGCCACTAACATGACTGGCCAGATTTCCTTACCAAAATAACGTGTTTCCCGCTCGTTACTGACAACGAGCAGGTTCTTGGCCAGCGCTGTGAATGTAGCGTATTCTTAGCACAAATAATCTTAGCAAAAATAATGTAATAAAAACCATGATATAATATATATATAATGATATATAATATAGCAACCCATCCACTTGAAAAGAGTGCATACAGTAACTAGATGGTCGATTATACTAATATATAGTAATAGAGTCCCAGTCCCAGTACCTTTGGCGCTACTTTTTATAGAGTCTGGGAAAATAAAGTTAAAACCCACACAAATATTCCTAGGCCTATTATAGTACATATATACTGAATTAAGGCTCAAATAGCGTGTATTAGACCTTTGTTAGGTAAGGTTAGGTAAAGTTTTATTAGTAACATAACTATAACAACTTTCCTTTTAACAAATTCTGTAATACTAGTTAACTTTCCGGTGGTCCATCACTACATATAGGTACTGTCCACTACACTGTTACTATGGGTACTGTCCACCATATTGTTACTAAATGGGTACTGTCCACCACACTATTACTATGGGTACTGTCCACCATATTGTTACTATGGGTACTGTCCACCACACTGTTACTATGGGTACTGTCCACCACACTGTTACTATGGATACTGTCCACCACACTGTTACTATGTGTACTGTCCACTACATCGTTTTTATGGGTACTCCACCTTGAGCTGGACGGTACAGCGACGATCTCGCTTCATGCTGGTCGGCGTTCAATCCCCGACCGTCCAAGTTGTTGGGCACCATTCCTTCCCCCCGTCCCATCCCAAATCCTTATCCTTACCCCTTCCAAGTGCTATATAGTTGTAATGGCTTGGAGCTTTCTCCTGATAGTTCCATTCCATTCATCAACAAATTCCGGGCTGCAAACTCTCAGGGCTCCGAGAATCATTTCAGAAAATACTGCCCGCTTAATTAAATTAACCTGATTATGATGAGTTGAGTAAAAATGAACACGCGAGCACACATTGGTAAGTTTCCTAAACACACTGAATTTGGAACTCTTACTCAATCGACTTGAGAATGGTTCAGGACGGACTGAAACGTCGTCGTCCCTTCACCTTCTAGTGTGTGGTCTGGTCAACCTCCTACCGATTCTATGAATCATCATGTCGAAAAAAGGCAGAATACCATTCTTTTCATTCTCAATTGTGTATTTAATTGACGGGGAACCAGAGACTTAAGCTGAATGAAACTATGAGTTTGATCATGATTAACCGGCATCAGGCATAAAATATTGTCAACGTACCTATACTACACCTAATTCGAGGGTAAAATCCTGGATAAGATCTTCGTTTCAAAACATTCCATGTACAAATTGCTCAAAGCCGGGGAGAGGCGATTCCCCATCGCCATGTTTGCTTATAAAATGAATCATAGAGGTGTGGGTAGGGGTGTGTGGAAGGTATTGGTATGGTTGGTGAGTTTTATCTGCTGCCTGGTGTGGTGGGTGGGGTGGGGGTGGGTGTTGAGAGTGACACAATCAGTGACAAAAACATCTCCTTGACTAACTATACAAATATGTCATTAAAAATATACATAATTTCAGGTTTATGTGATTTTATAGTTTTGATAACATTTTTGTTTTTAATTTATCTGGTACAGGAAATCAGAGAAACCGTCCTGGTGGAGGGGGAAGACCTCGCCCTGGTACAGGTGGGCAGATCACAGGTCCCCCGGGTGGTGGCAGTGGCTGCAACTGTGTGCCCATCATCTTCTGTGCTCCAGAACTAGACCAGGTACCATCTGCACATATTATCACCCCCAGTTGGCAGCGCATTAATGACATATTTGCCTTTGGAGAGTTTACAAGGGGAAACTGAGCATGATCATTTAAACTATTGCATTCCCTGTTGGTTCACTCCGCAGGCAGCCTCAGATCCACGGTTTCTAAATCAGTGCTAACAAATTAAAGTATAATGATGATAAAAATAATAATAATGATTTGATAAACTAACTCGTTATATGTGTCTGCAGCTGCAACAAATCTGTACCACGTCTGCTGGCACACCTGGAGTCTGCTGTCCTGCAAATGCCTTGACTGGTACGTCTTTCTGCCTTGTTCCCATTACCCAGCAGCATGTCAAGGGCCGTATGACTCGGCCAAGTTGTGTGGGGGGAGGTGAGGGGGGGGTAGGCCCTGGCAGGCGCAGTGGTATCGCTCGCCATGCCAGCGATTTGGTCAGGGTTCGTGCCCTGGTTAAGGACGATTGTTTGGGAGCCAATCCTAAACTGTTCGGCCCTGTTCACCCAGTAACATTTGGATACCTGGTTGTAAACCTATTGACGGGTTGTTTTCCAGGGAAAAATTAGTGGGTAAGGTTTATCAAGAGCTTTGGGAAGGGAAAGCTCTCAGCCCGCTAACAGGAGTCAGCAGTCGTCTGTTCCTGTACCCACCAAGGTACAGAAAGTGTTCCTGTACCCACCAAGGTGCAGAAAGTGTTCCTGTACCCACCAAGGTACAGAAAGTGTTCCTGTACCCACCAAGGTACAGAAAGTGTTCCTGTACTCACCAAGGTACAGAAAGTGTTCCTGTACCCACCAAGGTACAGAAAGTGTTCCTGTACCCACCAAGGTACAGAAAGTGTTCCTGTACCCACCAAGGTACAGAAAGTGTTCCTGTACCCACCAAGGTACAGAAAGTGTTCCTGTACCCACCAAGGTACAGAAAGTGTTCCTGTACCCACCAAGATACAGAAAGTGTTCCTGTACCCACCTAGGTACAGAAAGTGTTCCTGTACCCACCAAGGTACAGGAAGTGTTCCTGTACCCACTTGTATAAAAAATTGGAAAGTGTTGAGCCTGACAGAGTGGCTCCATACACCGTGATGTGTATTCAGTATGACTGTAACACTCTAGGTAACTTTCCATCGTCTTATCTCTGTACTGAAACATTAAACGGTAGGTCAGCGACTGAGTATTTCTATTGTATATCTCTCAAGTTCCTTGTGGTGCCTGTTGTTCCATTCAGTGCCAACAGGTGCTCTTAATAATCTCATAAAGTGTCTCATTTTTAAGTTAATTAAAAATTCTATGATCCTAAATTCGCTGCTGTACGATAAGTCAGCTGCGATGCTATTTATATTAATATTTAAACTTAGTAGAATTAGTCAACAAGAAATAAGATGGCTATGCTAATTTGCCATTACCAATTACAAGGCGATTTCAAGTTGTATTGACTGTGCCGACAGCTTCAGCGCCCGCCAAGGGGACGGCGGACAACCGCATCTTCACCAGCGCCTCTGTCTCTGTCAGTCTTCAGCCGCTCGATCCCAAGATGATGGAAGCATCTTTCCAAAAGGGACTTGAACTTAACAGTGAGATTAAACAGCTCGAGCAGGACCTTGTCAAGTAAGACATTTGTTGGGGAAAAGTGAGGGAGACAGGAAGGCAGGTAGGGAGGGAAGAAGGCAGGTAGGGAGGGAAGAAGGCAGGGAGGGAGGGAGGGAGGGAGGAAGGCAGGTAGGGAGGGAGGGAGGCAGGGAGGGAGGGAAGAAGGCAGGGAGGGAGGGAGGAAGGCAGGTAGGGAGGGAGGGAGGCAGGGAGGGAGGGAAGAAGGCAGGGAGGGAGGGAGGAAGGCAGGTAGGGAGGGAAGAAGGCAGGTAGGGAGGGAAGAAGGCAGCGAGAGAGGGAAGAAGGCAGGTAGGGAGGGAAGAAGGCAGGTAGGGAGGGAAGAAGGCAGGTAGGGAGGGAAGAAGGCAGCGAGAGAGGGAAGAAGGCAGGTAGGGAGGGAAGAAGGCAGGTAGGGAGGGAGCACGGCAGGTAGGAAGGGAGCACGGCAGGTAGGGAGGGAGGGAGGCAGGTAGGGAGGGAGGGAGGCAGGGAGGGAGGGAGGGAGGCAGGGAGGGAGGGAGGAAGGCAGGTAGGGAGGGAGCACGGCAGGTAGGGAGGGAGGGAGGGAGGCAGGTAGGGAGGGAGGGAGGCAGGGAGGGAGGGAGGGAGGCAGGGAGGGAGGGAGGAAGGCAGGTAGGGAGGGAGCACGGCAGGTAGGGAGGGAGGGAGGCAGGTAGGGAGGGAGGTAGGCAGGTAGGGAGGGAGGGAGGCAGGGAGGGAGGGAGGCAGGGAGGGAGGGAGGCAGGGAGGGAGGGAGGAAGGCAGGTAGGGAGGGAGCACGGCAGGTAGGGAGGGAGGGAGGCAGGTAGGGAGGGAGGGAGGCAGGGAGGGAGGGAGGGAGGCAGGGAGGGAGGGAGGAAGGCAGGTAGGGAGGGAGCACGGCAGGTAGGGAGGGAGGGAGGCAGGTAGGGAGGGAGGTAGGCAGATAGGGAGGGAGGGAGGAAGGCAGGTAGGGAGGGAGGAAGGCAGGTAGGGAGGGAGGAAGGCAGGGAGGGAGGGAGGGAGGCAGGTAGGGAGGGAGGGAGGCAGGTAGGAAGGGAGAAAGGCAGGTAGGGAGGGAGGGAGGGAGGCAGGTAGGGAGGGAGGAAGGCAGGTAGGAAGGGAGGGAGGCAGGTATGGAGGGAGGAAGGCAGGTAGGGAAGGAGGCAGGTAGGGAGGAAGGCAGGTATGGAGGGAGGGAGGCAGGGAGGGAGGGAGGGAGGAAGGCAGGTAGGGAAGGAGGGAGGCAGGGAGGGAGGGAGGAAGGCAGGTAGGGAGGGAGGGAGGCAGGTATGGAGGGAGGAAGGCAGGTAGGGAGGGAGGCAGGTAGGGAGGGAGGAAGGCAGGTAGGGAGGGAGGGAGGCAGGGAGGGAGGGAAGAAGGCAGGGAGGGAGGGAGGAAGGTAGGGAGGGAGGGAGGGAGGCAGGGAGGGAGGGAGGAAGGCAGGTAGGGAGGGAGGGAGGCAGGGAGGGAGGGAAGAAGGCAGGTAGGGAGGGAGCAAGGCAGGTAGGGAGGGAGGCAGGTAGGGAGGGAGGAAGGCAGGTAGGGAGGGAGGGAGGGAGGGAGGGAGGCAGGTAGGGAGGCAGGTAGGGAGGGAAGAAGGCAGGTAGGGAGGGAGGAAGGCAGGTAGGGAGGGAAGAAGGCAGGTAGGGAGAGAGGAAGGCAGGTAGGGAGGGAGGAAGGCAGGTAGGGAGGGAGGGAGGCAGGTAGGGAGGGAGGGAGGCAGATAGGGAGGGAGGGAGGGAGGCAGGGAGGGAGGGAGGGAGGAAGACAGGTAGGGAGGGAGGGAGGCAGGTAGGGAGGGAGGGAGGCAGGGAGGGAGGGAGAAAGGCAGGTAAGGAGGGAGGAAGGCAGGGAGGGAGGGAGAGACAGAAAGGAAGGAAGGGTGAGACAGGAAGGAAGGAAGGAGAGACAGGAAGGAAGGAAAAGACAGGAAGGAGGAGACAGAAAGGGAGAGACAGAACAAAAATCGAGGGGGGGAGGTTAGGAAGAGAAAGGGAGGCAGGCAACATACCAGGAGGTCTCCACCCACATATTAGACCTAAGCCAGCAGAGAGAGTGACACAATACCTGAGGACACGTGCTATATACTGTGGCTAACGTCCCTCTCCTCCTCCCCGCGCCCGCTCAGGAAGAAGGTGGTGCTGTCCTCGCTCTCCCCGGCTGGTCAGCACCTGCGGGTCTTCAGCATCAGCCCTCAGGCCAAGGCTATGGACCGTCGAGCCAGCGCCATCATCGAAGCCTCCACCAATCTTGTGGGCGAGTACGTATACACGGATCATAATTAATTCATATTGCACTTTAGGGAGTTTGTAAGACGCATCAAATTCGTAATTACGTTTCATAAAATATGTGAATTGTGAAATGATTGTACTCAAAAAGTCAGACATGTTTTGAAGAATAAGGACAAAATGTACCTTTGTTTATAGACATTTGTAATTGGAAACGTGTGCAAAAGTCATTTTGTATGAATTAAACAATGTAGCGAGGGAAGGGCTAGCGAGAAGCACTCAGTAACAGCTTAATATTGTTGCTCTTCTTTGTAGTTTCAGCTTAAATCGCCAACAAGGAGCTTTTGGGCTGAGGACCTTGGCGGTAGGCGGTACAGATCTGCAACAAATGTGCCCACAGAACCCCAGGTGCACCCCCAACAGCAAGTACCGTACTGCTGATGGCTCTTGCAACAACCTGGCAAACCCAACCTGGGGCATGAGCAACACTCCCAATCAGAGGATCTTATCACCCACTTACGACGATGGTCAGTGATGCTTAATATATGCAGTCCTGGTTTCTGGCGATATTTAGGTCACTGTTAACTTAGGCACTCAGCCCACACACATCTGAAACTCAAGGAAATAACGTCTTGGTCCGTGCTGGACCGTTATAAAGTTGTGTTACATGGTAACGGTTCAGGACGGCCCGAAACGTCGTCACATCCCTTATTTTCAGATCTGTTGTCGGCCACGTTATTGTGACTTTCTGCCTGGTCATTGTTAAGTCTTAATGTGAATGTGGTTCACTCCTGTGATTGTGTTGTGATCACTCTTGTGTCTCTACAGGAGTGCACGAACCGCGATCCAGGTCAGCTGATGGATCTCCTCTTCCCAATCCGCGTCAAATTAGCAACAATGTTTTATTAGATGTGAACCAGCCAGATGAGTTATACACATCCTCCTTAATGCAATGGGCACAGTTCATCGACCATGAATTTGCTCATGTTCCCTTCCCTACTCTAGGTAAGATTAATTTAGTGAAATTACGGTCGATTTTGTTAATAATGCTTAGTTGAAAGTGTTGTTAAAACTGAAATTTGACATAAAGTGACATGTCCGACTAAAGGAAATCATCAATTTTGTTACTGTTGTACCAATTTTGTATCTGTTGTAACCATTATGTATCATTAATGTTTATGTGATGACTTTACAAATCTCAGAAAACGGAGATGGAATTGAGTGTTGCCCAAATGGCACGATTGCCACCGGGGCCCTCCGTCACCCTAGATGCCTGCCCATCGATCTCACGGGGGACCCCTTCTACGGGCCCCTCGGCAGCACCTGCATGAATTTCGTCAGGAGCATGGTAGCCGTGGGCGTGGGCTCCAACTGTGTGTTTGGCTACGCGGAGCAGGTGGGTGGCGTGTCTGCCACAGTCTCTGCTCTATGGGTGGCGCGGCCGTGGCTTGGAACATATGCTTTTCAGTCTTTAAAGTGAATAATATATGGCTATAATCTTCTAAAATATTTACAACGACAATCCTTATTATCCTCTGGAAGGGCTGTGTATAAATGTTTCAGTTAATACAAAATGTATATATATTAAACAGCTGAACCAGTTGACGCACTGGATAGACGCCTCCATGGTGTACGGGTCAACGGAAGAAGAGCAACGGCCACTGAGGACCGGCCGGGACGGACTCATGAAGGTCTCCAACAACAACCTCTTGCCCATCAACCCCAACCAGGGAGGCAGCTGCGAGGCCCGCGTGCGTGGCGCCAAGTGCTTCATGGCAGGTAGGTTACCAGTCTCCTTTGGCACCAGCCTTATTTGGCACCAGCCTCCCTTGGCACCAGCCTTATTTGGCACCAGCCTCCCTTGGCACCAGCCTTATTTGGCACCAGCCTCCCTTGGCACCAGCCTTATTTGGCACCGGCCTCCCTTGGCACCAGTCTCAAGCATGCGGGGACCCATAGTCTCGGAGAAGAAAATAAGGAGTATTCAGAGAAGACCTTGTGGATTCTCACTGAACACTTTAATACTTTCTTTTCCTACCATCCCCATTCTTTTGTGTATACACATATATATTTGTTTTATTTGAACTTTGTTACAAAAAAGGAGTTACATATAGGATACAAAGATGATTATCATAAGTTGTCGAGTTCCTCCAGCTCCTTAGATGGCGGGCAAAAGCCTAGAATGCAGTGTGCATTTCCCCTCTGTATCGCCACGCTAAGGCGCTGGAAAAGGAAGCTGGCAGCTCTAGGGTCTCTTGTAGTTTCACTTAGCCTAGACCTCAGTTCCTTCAAAAAACTGGTACCACTCTTACCCCAGGCGCCGAGTGTCTCAGAAGCAATGGGGACAAAATTTTAGTGATGATCCAGTTCTCTGTACTTACGGGATTTGGCTGATTCCCTGTGGATGGCAGCGCCACCTGGTTGTGCAACACTGAAGTCAATGTAGGTGTTAGCCAGGGTTGATACGCACGTGTAGTCCTACACCAACTGCTTGCCATTCTTCCAGGGGTTCACTGTGATACCATCTGGGCGACCAATAAGAGCATCAGAGTTACGGGGCGTTAGGTAACGGGGCTCTCTTTCAGCTGGGCATCCAGCTGTGGTGAGGCTCCTCTTGATGATGTCGTTAACTTCACTGTGCCTCGAGTGCCATCCCCCTGTGCTTTGGCAGAGCAGGCCATGGTGGCCGTACCTGTCAGCCACCACCTAGCCACAAATATATATGACAATGTCAGACCACGGAGGAAAATGAAACAGGAAATTTCCTTAAGTACTTTCGTATATTAAATACATCTTCAGAAGGAATCAATTGATTCCTTCTGAAGATGTATTTAATATACGAAAGTACTTAAGGAAATTTCCTGTTTCATTTTCCTCCGTGGTCTGACATTGTCACATTCTTAATCACGTGTTTATTTTCGTGATACACACACACACATTATATATATATATATATATATATATATATATATATATATATATATATATATATATATATATATATATATATATGTTGTACCTTGTAGCCAGAACGTCATACTTGGCCTACTATGCAATGCCCGATTTGCCTAATAGGCCAAGTTTTCCTGAATTTATATATTTTTCTAAATTTTTCTTATGAAATGATAAATCTGTACATTTCATTATGTTTAACTTAATTTGTTTAAATTTGAGTTAAAACTAACCTAGATATATGACCGAACCTAACCAACCCTACCTAACCTAACCTAACCTAACCTAACCTAACCTAACCTAAACTAACACAACTAAGTCAATAAATTATGGTCTTAATATAAAATAATAATTCAAATAAACTATTCGTAAAAAAATATTGAAAAATAAAGAAAATCACTCGGCCTATTAGGCAAATCGGGCCTTGCATAGTAGGCCGAGAAGTGCGTTCTGGCTACTAGGTACGACATATATATAATATATTATATATATAAGTTTTGGGTGAGGTGATTGACATTTACCCAAGACCGAACACGAACCAATGGGTATATTGGTTGGGTCATTGCTTTACCCGCAATGTTATTTTCATACTGTCTCTCTGCTTCTCTCCTCACTCTGAGGTACTCATTCCTTGCCCTCTGGTATCTCTCCCTGCTCTCTCTCTCTGGCACAGTTACTACACATGGCTGCCCTCTGGCACACTCTTACTGTGAGTGGCTGCCTTCTGCCATACTTACTATGAAAAAGGTCTTCTTATCCCGTTTTCTTAAAGCAGATGTAAAGTAACCAAGTGGCAATAATTCTTGCATACTAATTTAATTTAAGTACAAAATAAGATTCTCAATAGACATAAAAATAACGTTGCAACGTGAGCGTAAAGCTCCCACTAACAAACGGTTACGATCTTTTATTTACAGGAGTCGAACCTGGGTCAGGAGTCACCAGGGATTTACGCAACCACTTAAGGAACCCATACATTGTTCTTCATTCATTGCAAATTTGTAATAATTAAACAATTTGAGTTCCGAACCAGTAAGAGGTTGTTTATAACAATAATAACCTTGGGTTAAGATGTTTCACAGTTCGTATATTCCTTAATAAATGTAAACACAGCCGCCATGATTGGTTGGAAGATATACAGGTTTCGTAACTGGATGCGTAAATGCTTGATCAATCCTGGCCCTACATCGTAACGCTCTAGGTAATCGAAATCGACATTTCTAAAATTATGTATAGATCAAAGCATTATTACATGAGAGTAATTGTGACAATTACAAGCCACAATGTAACAAGCACTCCCATGATTACAGGGGACTCGCGCGTGAACGAGCAGCCTGGCCTGACGGCGCTCCACACGCTGCTGGTGAGGTACCACAACCTGGTGGCCAAGGACCTCAAGGCCCTCAACCCTCAGTGGTCGGACGAGGTCCTCTTCCAGGAGACCCGCAGGATCCTCACTGCTCAGATCCAGCATATTATCTTCAACGAGTGGCTTCCCATTGTTCTTGGTGAGTGTGTGTGGTGGAGTGTGTGTGTAGTGGAGTGTGTGTGTGGTGGAGCGTGTGTGGTGGAGCGTGTGTGGTGGAGCGTGTGTGGTGGAGCGTGTGTGGTGGAGTGGAGTGTGTGTTGTGGAGCGAGTGTGTATGGTAGAGCGTGTATGGTTAAGCGAGTGTGTGTGTGTGTGTGTGTGTGTGATGGAGTGAGTTTCAACTTCAGTCAATGGAGATATAATAGCAATGAGCAAGCGTTAGCAGTAAATACACAAGCGTCTGTATTCCTATAGGAAAGGACTTCATGAAAGGGTTTGGGCTGAGTGTGCTGAGGTCTGGCCAGAGCTCCGACTACAACCCCAGGATCAACCCCAACATGAACAGCGAGTTCTCCACCGCTGCCTTCAGATTCGGCCACACTCTAGTACAAGGAACTCTCAGGTGAGTTATACCGGTGCTCCTTCTTACACAGCATGAAACGATTCACTATTTCTATACATCATTTAATTGTGATGTAATGACTATACAATCAAAAATTTAAAATTAAGACAAGTTGAATGAAGTGGTTCAATTTAAATTATAGGAATGGTGTGAAATATTTTCCTTATTCGTTCCTTTGGTTATTGTGAAAATATATTGCGACGTGAAAAATGGATGGTAGCGCGGTCTCTCTAGGGCAGATGCCAGTCACATAGAGCAAAAAAAAAAAAAAATGTTAGACTGCTATTTAACTTCACACTGAGACAACTGTAGGATAAAACGTACAAGAGGAAAAATTTTTAAATACTTTACTTAAACAAATTACTGAAACAAACTAACATTAAATAAAAATAGTATCCAAACTTGGCTTTACTCAAAGTCAGCAAAATGAAAAATACAAACAAACAATTAAATTTACGTTACGTTAAAGTGCAAATTATATAATGGTGCGGGAATACTGTGAGCCAGTCTGTATAAACCTGCTACCACACCGAGGTATGCCACCAGATCTCTGCAGTAGAGCACGCAGAAGTATTCTGGCTAGGTAAGGTGATTGATTGATGAAGATTAAGCCACCTAAAAAGTGGCACGGGCCTGAACAGCCCGTAAGTGGTGGCCCTTTTGAGCCATCACCAGTATCAAGAGCTGATACTGGAGATCTGTGGAGGTGCGACTAGATAAGGCCAGGTAGCCTTTATATATAGGAGAAACGGCCGTCCAGGTGGCGCTGGTGTCGTCGATAACTGGGAGCCGGTACACTTGAACTACCATAAGCTTGTAGTGGCGTGATCCTGGAGCCGTGGCCAGGTGCGAGGGTGTGACGGGCTCTGGGGGAGGTAGACTGGGGGTACACTGTCTAGACGTCTGAGACGTAGTTGTTGTCATTGTTGCTGCTGTAAATTCTTGAGTTTTTAAAATATGTTGACGTGGTGTAGTAGAATAGATGATGATGGAGCAGGCCGAATCTCCTTTTAAGAGAGATTACTGTGACAATATGTTATGAAAGATGAAGTATGTTGACCAAATCACACACTAGAAAGTGAAGCGACGACGACGTTTCGGTCCGACCTGGACCATTCTCAAGTCGATTGTGACTTGAGAATGTGATTGTGACTCGAGTCATTCTCTCAATCGACTTGAGAATAGTCCAGGACGGACCGAAACGTTGTCGTCGCTTCACTTTCTAGTGTGTGATTTGGTCAACATATTTCAGCCACGTTATTGTGACTCCTCGTCTGCAAGATGAATTATGTTCCTTTATTGTTAACCTCTTGGCTGCTGCAGATTGTTTACCCCCGCTGGAGGCGTCGACACCATCAGAATGCGCGATCACTTCAACTCTCCTCATCTCATTGAGGTTGAGGGTCGACTAGACGACATTACTCGAAGCCTCACACAGCTTGCCATTCAGAAGTATGACTCCTTTATCACTCAGGATTTGTCAAACCATCTTTTCCAGGTGAGGAAAATTAATGTTCTGTAAAGAGGTACATCCTTAAAATATTTGCCAAATACTTGTTAAACTAGTATCTTTCCTCCTAGCTTCCTGTTTATTTCTGAAAAACTCTCTTCACTTATACAAATGTTTACGTTCGAACATTCCTGAGACAGGACTTTGTTCATTTCTAAATTCTTTCTAGGTAGGTAAAAATGACACTTGAGGCCGGAAAGGACTGTTATCAGACAGCGATCATAACAAATGTTTGTGAATTATTCTTTCTTCATATTTCACACTTTTCATACTCTTGTGTTAAAGTTAACAAGATGGCGCTGAACAACATGGAGGGCTCTCTACAGGTGTCACAAAGGAAAAGATTAACCGTTCTTGCTCATGTTCTTAAATTTTGGCTTGTGTCTCCATGGCGCCAGACGCCCAGGTTCAACTTCGGCATGGACCTGATGAGCCTGAACATCCAGCGCGGGCGAGACCACGGCATCGCCACGTACAACGACATGCGACAAGTCTGCGGTCTGCCTCGGGCCCGCACCTTCGATGACATCAAGGACCAGATCAGTGCTGAGGTAAGTCCAACGTGGTCGTGTCCATACTGACTGAACACTATAAATGTGTTCTCACTTTATTAATTGAATTGAACATTCTTCATGGTAACTTATCGTGTCGTATTTCTTTTCAATTTACATTTTGTTTCTTACAGAAATTCTAATTTATACGGAAATAAAATATTTTTAACCTTCGGAATTGTTTAACATTACGATCATTTCTTAGAGTTTATTTCACTTACCAAGATTTTACTAAATATTAAGACAGGATGGGTATTATTGGACACTGATCTGCCCCACACTAACCAGAGCCACCACCTGCCCCACAGAACGTGCAGAAGCTGGCCAGAGTGTACAAGAGTGTTGATGATATCGACTTCTTCGTGGGCGGCATCTCCGAGCGGTCGGTCCCTGGGGCCCTCCTGGGCTGGACCTTCCTCTGTGTGGTGGGAGACCAGTTCGCTCGCCTCAAGAAAGGAGACCGATACTTCTACGACCTCGCTGGACAGCCAGGCTCCTTCACTGAACGTAATAATTAATTTGTAAATTATTTATAATAGTAAATGTATATTACTAGATGGGGTACCCGGTGGTGCCCGGGTCGACCCTGTGTCCACGCTTCTCCAAACGCATCCTCCCAGGTCACCTCTTTCCACACACACCCCATCACCACCTCTTCCACACAATTTTCACAACACACTCTCTACATCACTGCAAATAACCCTTACCACCCTACGACACCATAAAGTTACCGATTACCATGCAAAGCTGCGTGAGTCTAGCCCCGAGCATCTGGCTTTCAACCTCAGACATTCTCTCTTACAGACAGATGAGGTACCCTGCAGAGCTTGTCTTTCTCCCTCCCTCCTTTCGTTCTCAGTTCCAGTGAACAAAACATCCCTTCATCACCTCCAAACAACATCGGACCATCTCGTAGGAGCTGGTTTCAAAGATTCCAACCCGAACTAGAAACCCAAACCTAACCTAACCTAAGCTGGAGAGGAGGCAAATTTAGAGAGAACCTAGATGTAATGGGAATCTAAACGGGTTATTCAACCGACCTAAACGAAACCTAACTAAACCTGACCTAACTTAACCTAACCTAACCTACATTCAACAACAACACACTGGTTCCTACCTTTACTTGACCCACTGCATCAACCTACGCACACTGGCCCAACCCCCCGTACACTAGCCCCACCACCATACACTAGCCCCACCACCATACACTACCCCCACTCAGGTACACTAGCCCTACCACCATACACTTGCCCCACTCACGTACACTAGCCCCACTCACGTACACTAGCCCCACTCACGTACACTAGCCCCACTCACGTACACTAGCCCCACCACCATACACTACCCCCACTCACGTACACTAGCCCCACCATCATACACTAGCCCCACTCACGTACACTAGCCCCACCACCGTACACTAGCCCCACCCCTCCACCCACGTACACTAGCCCCACCCCTCCACCCACGTACACTAGCCCTACTCACGTACACTAGCCCTACTCACGTACACTAGCCCCCACCCACGTACACCAGCCCCACCCCTCCACCCACGTATACTAGCCCTACTCACGTACACTAGCTCCACCCCCTCCACCCACGTACACCAGCCCCACCCCTCCACCCACGTACACTAGCCCCACTCACGTACACTATCCCCACCCCCATACACTATCCCCACCCCCATACACTAGCCCCCCCCCAACGTACACTAGCCCACCCCCCCCAACGTACACTAGCCCACCCCCACCACTGGCCTGTACTGACACCATAACTGCTGCCCCCCACAGCTCAGCTGCAGCAGATCCGCGCGTCCTCCTGGGCCAGGATCATCTGCGACACTGCCAACGTTCCCGCCGTCCAGCCCCTCGCCTTCCGCCAGACCAACAGCAGATTGTAAGTGTACTGTTGCCAGATGCACGCCTTCACTACATGGTGCAATGTTGCTGTGTGTTGTTGAAATTCAACGGGATGTCAAATATGAATTTATGTCAACTTTATTTTTAATTCATTGGGTTGGGGGACAGGTAGCCAGTTTATACCTATTGTACATGTTAGGCTTATATCGAGCCCCCCCCCCTCCCTACGTCTCAAGGGTCGAATTACTGGATGCAGCCCCACAACAAGCTGACTCCTGAGTACCTATATACTGCTAGGTGGACAGGGGTATAAGGTGATAGGTAACGCGCCCAACCATTTCTGTCCCGCCTGGGATTCGAACCTGGAATTTTCGATTGTGAGTCGAGAACTAACTCGACTGTACTACTGATACAGTGGGTACAGCGACTCATACCCACTGTACCTGTGGAGGTAGGAGTCGAGCCAGATTCACGAAGCAGTTACGCAAGCACTTACGAACCTGTACATCTTTTCTGCATCTTTGGCGACTTTGTTTACAATTATTAAACAGTTAATGAGCTCCGACTGTTTATTCTTATAAACAGCCAGGAAGCTGTTAATAACAATAACAACAGTTGATAGGGAAGTTTCCATGCTTGTAAACTGTTTAATAAATGTAACCAAAGCCGTCAAAGATTGAGGAAAGATCTGTACTTGCGTAACTGCTTCGTGAATCTGGCACCCACGTCTGCTACAACATGACCACGGCATCCATAATACTCTACTTTACATTTCCAATCAGGTTGAGAATTTTTCATTAAAGAAAACAGTGGCCAAAACTGTGCTATGTCAAGGGGGACTAACTGGTGCAGGCTAAACCCGAAGAATAATATCCGTCAATAATTACAATCATATTCTTAATTAATTCCTCGTACTTCTTCTGAACTTCAGTAACGTATTTACTTTATTTTGAACATTTACTCCTTGATATCTTGACTTTACATCTTTCTTAATCAGGATAACACATTTTTTTTCATATAGTTTTATCTATTTCAAACTTGTCCCGCTGATGTCTGGTAACTATTGTTTCCTGAGCTTAGCCCGCTGATGTCTGGTAACTATTGTTTCCTGAGCTTAGCCCGCTGATGTCTGGTAACTATTGTTTCCTGAGCTTAGCCCGCTGATGTCTGGTAACTATTGTTTCCTGAGCTTAGAGACTTATATTTATCATCATTAAGCTGCATATATGTCCTCCCCATTTACTGTCTTGGGATATTGAGTATTCTAAATTAATCAAAGAAATGTTGCTTCTCAGTTCTGTGCCGTAAATAACTTATATACGTTGTAAATAACTAAGGCCCGAAGACAGAGTCATGGAATTCAATTAGCAACCAAATCCAATTTGGATTGTATGACATTTACGGTATTCCTCTGTTTACTTATATATATTAATGTAGTAATACACCTGATGACCCAATAGCCCCCAACGTACAAGAGCAACGGGATATCACCGTTGTTACCGTTAAACCAAAACTCTCCTGGATATTGTGGTCACTTGATGATATCTCCAGTGTCACGCACCTTTATCTGTTGAATTATTCTTTCGTGAGGCAGAGTACAGGACTGCTAAAGTTAGGGGGAATCGGGTAGCAATGTTCCCCAGTGGAAACTGATTTTTAATATGTTTAATAAGAATGAGAGCAAATTTGTACAAAGAAGTTGCCTTCTCTATATGCTGTGAAAATGTATTAGTTTTATAAGATGTAGAGGAACGACTTTGGTAATTATGTACTAGTCATTCTCCCGCTCTTGATTTCAAATTAAATGGCGGTATTGTGTATTGATTTTGCATGACTATGAGAAGGAGAGAAGAATGATCCCACTACTAGAGCAACAACAGTCATTCTCCGTGTAAGTCTAGTAGAACGGTGAATGTTACATGTAGCCTCTTGTGATCTATTGCATAATTCCAGAGCCTACAGCTGTTGCGCTACTATTCTAAACCCGTCGTACTTTTTTCAGAGTATACCTTCTTGCTATTGTGAATTCCGGTATATATACCATAATGTACCCATGTACACAGAATTTTGTGATTTTAAGGTATTGTGGCATATGAAACATCGTGTAAATAGGGCTAAATTACTTCGTTTTTTTTTTCCTTGCAGCAACCAGCCAGTGCCATGCGACAGTGGGATCATTGCTCGCCCCAACTGGGCCCCGTGGAAGGGGGAGAGGCCGGGCGTGTAGGCTCTCCCACGGCTCCTATCCTCTAACCATTCCCCTACCACATTCCTCATTTCAATATATCAGTTCATATTCAAGTTGTAAAAGTATTTAAAGCAACATTTATGAACTTTAAAAGCATATGAAGCAACATTTAGAAACATGAAATATATGAAGCAACATTTAGAAAAGTTAAAAGTATTTGAAGCAATACTCAAAAACATGAAAGTATATGAAGCAACATTTAGAAAGTTTCAAATATTTGAAGCAACATTTAGAAACTTTAAAATATTTAAGCAACATTTAGAAGCAAAAAAGTATTTGAAACAATATTTAGAGACTTGCAAATATCTGAAGCAATTAAGCAATATTTGAAACAATATTTGAAGCAAATGTCTGAAAAAAGAGCAAAATTTCTGCAGATTTGCTCCAAACATTAACAGAAGTGGAATCTATTTCTTTTAGCTTAAAATAAATATAAATTTATACAATTTGTGTATTTTGTTTCCTCACATTTTTCCTCCCATGAAGGACCTTATTGGGCAGGATTGTCCTCTGGTGACAGGGGGAGGATTGTCCTCTGGTGACAGGGGGAGGATTGTCCTCAGATGACAGGGGGAGGATTGTCCTCTGGTGACAGGGGGAGGATTGTCCTCTGGTGACGGGGGGAGGATTGTCCTCTGGTGACAGGGGCAGGATTGTCCTCTGGTGACAGGGGGAGGATTGTCCTCTGGTGACAGGGGGAGGATTGTCCTCTGGTGACAGGGGGAGGATTGTCCTCTGGTGACAGGGGGAGGATTGTCCTCTGGTGACAGGGGGAGGATTGTCCTCTGGTGACAGGGGGAGGATTGTCCTCTGGTGACAGGGGGAGGATTGTCCTCTGGTGACGGGGGGAGGATTGTCCTCTGGTGACAGGGGGAGGATTGTCCTCTGGTGACGGGGGGAGGATTGTCCTCTGGTGACGGGGGCAGGATTGTCCTCTGGTGACAGGGGCAGGATTGTCCTCTGGTGACAGGGGGAGGATTGTCCTCTGGTGACGGGGGCAGGATTGTCCTCTGGTGACAGGGGCAGGATTGTCCTCTGGTGACAGGGGGAGGATTGTCCTCTGGTGACGGGGGCAGGATTGTCCTCTGGTGACAGGGGCAGGATTGTCCTCTGGTGACAGGGGGAGGATTGTCCTCTGGTGACAGGGGGGAGGATTGTCCTCTGGTGACAGGGGGGAGGATTGTCCTCTGGTGACAGGGGGAGGATTGTCCTCTGGTGACAGGGGGAGGATTGTCCTCTGGTGACAGGGGGGAGGATTGTCCTCTGGTGACAGGGGGGAGGATTGTCCTCAGGTGACGGGGGGAGGATTGTCCTCAGGTGACGGGGGGAGGATTGTCCTCTGGTGACAGGGGGAGGATTGTCCTCTGGTGACGGGGGGAGGATTGTCCTCTGGTGACGGGGGCAGGATTGTCCTCTGGTGACAGGGGCAGGATTGTCCTCTGGTGACAGGGGGAGGATTGTCCTCTGGTGACGGGGGCAGGATTGTCCTCTGGTGACAGGGGCAGGATTGTCCTCTGGTGACAGGGGGAGGATTGTCCTCTGGTGACGGGGGCAGGATTGTCCTCTGGTGACAGGGGCAGGATTGTCCTCTGGTGACAGGGGGAGGATTGTCCTCTGGTGACAGGGGGGAGGATTGTCCTCTGGTGACAGGGGGGAGGATTGTCCTCTGGTGACAGGGGGAGGATTGTCCTCTGGTGACAGGGGGAGGATTGTCCTCTGGTGACAGGGGGGAGGATTGTCCTCTGGTGACAGGGGGGAGGATTGTCCTCTGGTGACAGGGGGAGGATTGTCCTCTGGTGACGGGGGCAGGATTGTCCTCTGGTGACAGGGGCAGGATTGTCCTCAGGTGACAGGGGGGAGGATTGTCCTCAGGTGACAGGGGGGAGGATTGTCCTCTGGTGACAGGGGGAGGATTGTCCTCAGGTGACAGGGGCAGGATTGTCCTCTGGTGACAGGGGCAGGATTGTCCTCTGGTGACAGGGGGAGGATTGTCCTCTGGTGACAGGGGGAGGATTGTCCTCTGGTGACAGGGGGAGGATTGTCCTCTGGTGACAGGGGGAGGATTGTCCTCTGGTGACAGGGGGAGGATTGTCCTCAGGTGACAGGGGGGAGGATTGTCCTCTGGTGACAGGGGGGAGGATTGTCCTCTGGTGACAGGGGGAGGATTGTCCTCAGGTGACAGGGGCAGGATTGTCCTCTGGTGACAGGGGGAGGATTGTCCTCTGGTGACAGGGGGAGGATTGTCCTCTGGTGACTGGGGGAGGATTGTCCTCTGGTGACAGGGGGAGGATTGTCCTCTGGTGACAGGGGGAGGATTGTCCTCTGGTGACAGGGGGGAGGATTGTCCTCTGGTGACAGGGGGAGGATTGTCCTCTGGTGACGGGGGCAGGATTGTCCTCTGGTGACAGGGGCAGGATTGTCCTCAGGTGACAGGGGGGAGGATTGTCCTCAGGTGACAGGGGGAGGATTGTCCTCTGGTGACGGGGGGAGGATTGTCCTCAGGTGACAGGGGCAGGATTGTCCTCTGGTGACGGGGGGAGGATTGTCCTCTGGTGACGGGGGGAGGATTGTCCTCTGGTGACAGGGGCAGGATTGTCCTCTGGTGACGGGGGGAGGATTGTCCTCTGGTGACAGGGGCAGGATTGTCCTCTGGTGACAGGGGCAGGATTGTCCTCTGGTGACAGGGGCAGGATTGTCCTCTGGTGACAGGGGGAGGATTGTCCTCTGGTGACAGGGGGGAGGATTGTCCTCTGGTGACAGGGGGGAGGATTGTCCTCTGGTGACAGGGGGAGGATTGTCCTCTGGTGACAGGGGCAGGATTGTCCTCTGGTGACAGGGGCAGGATTGTCCTCTGGTGACAGGGGCAGGATTGTCCTCTGGTGACAGGGGCAGGATTGTCCTCTGGTGACAGGGGCAGGATTGTCCTCTGGTGACAGGGGGAGGATTGTCCTCTGGTGACGGGGGGAGGATTGTCCTCTGGTGACGGGGGGAGGATTGTCCTCTGGTGACGGGGGGAGGATTGTCCTCTGGTGACGGGGGGAGGATTGTCCTCTGGTGACAGGGGCAGGATTGTCCTCTGGTGACAGGGGCAGGATTGTCCTCTGGTGACAGGGGCAGGATTGTCCTCTGGTGACAGGGGCAGGATTGTCCTCTGGTGACAGGGGCAGGATTGTCCTCTGGTGACAGGGGGAGGATTGTCCTCTGGTGACAGGGGGGAGGATTGTCCTCTGGTGACAGGGGGGAGGATTGTCCTCTGGTGACAGGGGGAGGATTGTCCTCTGGTGACAGGGGGAGGATTGTCCTCAGGTGACGGGGGGAGGATTGTCCTCTGGTGACAGGGGCAGGATTGTCCTCTGGTGACAGGGGCAGGATTGTCCTCTGGTGACAGGGGCAGGATTGTCCTCTGGTGACAGGGGCAGGATTGTCCTCTGGTGACAGGGGGAGGATTGTCCTCTGGTGACAGGGGGGAGGATTGTCCTCTGGTGACAGGGGGAGGATTGTCCTCTGGTGACAGGGGGGAGGATTGTCCTCTGGTGACAGGGGGGAGGATTGTCCTCTGGTGACGGGGGGAGGATTGTCCTCTGGTGACGGGGGGAGGATTGTCCTCAGGTGACAGGGGGAGGATTGTCCTCAGGTGACAGGGGGAGGATTGTCCTCAGGTGACGGGGGGAGGATTGTCCTCTGGTGACAGGGGGAGGATTGTCCTCTGGTGACGGGGGGAGGATTGTCCTCTGGTGACAGGGGGAGGATTGTCCTCTGGTGACGGGGGGAGGATTGTCCTCTGGTGACGGGGGCAGGATTGTCCTCTGGTGACAGGGGGAGGATTGTCCTCAGGTGACGGGGGGAGGATTGCCCTCTGGTGACAGGGGGAGGATTGTCCTCTGGTGACAGGGGGAGGATTGTCCTCTGGTGACGGGGGCAGGATTGTCCTCTGGTGACAGGGGGAGGATTGTCCTCAGGTGACGGGGGGAGGATTGTCCTCTGGTGACAGGGGGAGGATTGTCCTCTGGTGACAGGGGGAGGATTGTCCTCTGGTGACAGGGGCAGGATTGTCCTCAGGTGACAGGGGGAGGATTGTCCTCTGGTGACAGGGGGAGGATTGTCCTCTGGTGACAGGGGGAGGATTGTCCTCTGGTGACAGGGGGAGGATTGTCCTCAGGTGACAGGGGGAGGATTGTCCTCTGGTGACAGGGGGAGGATTGTCCTCTGGTGACAGGGGGAGGATTGTCCTCTGGTGACAGGGGCAGGATTGTCCTCAGGTGACAGGGGGAGGATTGTCCTCTGGTGACAGGGGGAGGATTGTCCTCTGGTGACGGGGGGAGGATTGTCCTCTGGTGACAGGGGGAGGATTGTCCTCTGGTGACGGGGGCAGGATTGTCCTCAGGTGACAGGGGGAGGATTGTCCTCTGGTGACAGGGGGAGGATTGTCCTCTGGTGACGGGGGCAGGATTGTCCTCAGGTGACAGGGGGAGGATTGTCCTCTGGTGACGGGGGCAGGATTGTCCTCTGGTGACAGGGGGAGGATTGTCCTCTGGTGACAGGGGCAGGATTGTCCTCAGGTGACGGGGGGAGGATTGTCCTCTGGTGACAGGGGGAGGATTGTCCTCTGGTGACGGGGGCAGGATTGTCCTCAGGTGACAGGGGGAGGATTGTCCTCTGGTGACGGGGGGAGGATTGTCCTCTGGTGACAGGGGGAGGATTGTCCTCTGGTGACAGGGGCAGGATTGTCCTCAGGTGACGGGGGGAGGATTGTCCTCTGGTGACAGGGGGAGGATTGTCCTCTGGTGACGGGGGCAGGATTGTCCTCAGGTGACAGGGGGAGGATTGTCCTCTGGTGACGGGGGCAGGATTGTCCTCTGGTGACAGGGGGAGGATTGTCCTCTGGTGACAGGGGGAGGATTGTCCTCTGGTGACGGGGGAGGATTGTCCTCAGGTGACAGGGGGAGGATTGTCCTCTGGTGACAGGGGGAGGATTGTCCTCTGGTGACAGGGGGAGGATTGTCCTCTGGTGACAGGGGGAGGATTGTCCTCTGGTGACAGGGGGAGGATTGTCCTCTGGTGACAGGGGGAGGATTGTCCTCTGGTGACAGGGGGAGGATTGTCCTCTGGTGACAGGGGGAGGATTGTCCTCTGGTGACAGGGGGAGGATTGTCCTCTGGTGACAGGGGGAGGATTGTCCTCTGGTGACAGGGGGAGGATTGTCCTCTGGTGACAGGGGGAGGATTGTCCTCTGGTGACAGGGGGAGGATTGTCCTCTGGTGACAGGGGGAGGATTGTCCTCTGGTGACAGGGGGAGGATTGTCCTCTGGTGACAGGGGGAGGATTGTCCTCTGGTGACAGGGGGAGGATTGTCCTCTGGTGACAGGGGGAGGATTGTCCTCTGGTGACAGGGGGAGGATTGTCCTCTGGTGACAGGGGGAGGATTGTCCTCTGGTGACAGGGGGAG